GGGCGGGGGGAACGGTGGAAGGGTGCGGGGTGAAGGGGAGAGGGTCACGCCCACGCGGGAGTGCTCGCAGCCCCGCGCGGCTGGGGGTCTTGCCTCCTGGTTCCAGAAGTGTCGGCCGTCTTCCTCCCCGAGAGTTGACTGCGGCTTTTAGGGGGTTTTTCGTCCTGAAGCCGAAGGTGGGAGGGCTGGAGGCAGCTAGATGCCTAAGGGACTCTGGTGGAAGTGGAAAGTTTAGGGAGGTGGAGCAGCGAGAGAAAAGGCGGCAGCGTCTCCGCAGCCGGCGGTAGCTTAGTAGCTAGTTCCGGGCCCAGGGATAAACAGTAGCAGCTGTCGCTGACACACCTCCGCGCGTGGGCGGGGCCTCGGATGGCCACGCCTTATCCACGTAACCCGAGGGGTAAAGCACAGCTCTAATAATACACACCGTATAGACCGTGGCAGGTGTACGGTACTCATGTACATCATGTATCCATAAGGTGTTTTTAAAAACTGCGAGGAATTATATAGCCGAATGGTGACTATTAATGCCGGGATTACAGGTGATTTTTATATTTAAGATCTTTATATTTTCCAATTTTCCTAAAAACAGTTTTTTTGTCATCAGAGTTATTACTGTTTAAAAATCGCCTTTATAAAATAGGTAGACTCCTGAAATTTGTAAACAGCTTTTTGAAGCACAATGAAGAAAGTGTAAAGGAGTAGATGGCTATTTAAAAGAAAACCTTTGGTGAAGCCTTTTGTAAATCAAGGCATCTTTGTGTGTAACTGATACCTAGTTAGCTTGTTTTGGATTGTTTGGATACTGGGTTTTCTTAAAATCAGAACTGTACTTAGATGCAAATCATAACTTGGACCATGCAGCAACCCTCCATCAAAAATAAAGAAAAAGTAATTTTCCATCCAAAGATGCCTTTTCCACAATCTGACCCTTGTGTAAGAGACTGGAAGGCAGCGATGTCCAGGGAACCCTCCAATCCTCCATTCCCTGCCCCCTGAAATTGAGCTAGGAAGCTATGTGTAAAAGTACAATAAGATTCAATGTGAGAAAATGCCACTGTTTTCTGTTAAGGCCTGGCTATCTGATCATCAGGTCAAACTGAACAAAGTCTCCAGAGACATAATAATGTGGATGTACCTGAAATGCAACAGGTCCCTTGGTGATTGGATGATGAAGGACAAGAGGAAGTTCGAATGCAAGCAATGATAATTATTAGATGAAAAACAAGTCAAATATGGGCCCTTTTATTTAAAGCTAGGTTAACAGAATAAATGATCAGCAAAACACATTAAACCAAATTAGCAAACAAACCAGTATACACTACATCACATTAAAAATTTCACACTCCAATTATAGTCCTTTTTAAGTTCCTCGTTGCAGTCTGTCCTCTCCCTGAAGAAGACAAGGATAGATCTTGGCACATTTTACCTATCCAGTGCCCCCTTTTCCTCTCTTGTTATTATTTAAAGATTTTATTTCACCTTTTTGAAAAAAGAAACCTGTCCTTATTTTTAAATCGGTCAATATTTAATTAAATTTATCAGTTATATTAGTCAAGATCAGTGGCATTGCCAGTGGAAGGGAGAGGGTGGCTGTGGAGAATCTAGTCCAGCAGGAAGAATATTTTATTAGTGAATCTGTTTAGAATTGCCAGTGCATGTGATTATAAAAAGCAAACCAACATTTAATCAGATTTATTATTGTTTTTAAACTCCCCATAGACAGTGTACCCCCTGCACTGGAGATGGGCTGTTCTCACTACCGCCCCCTCCTTGGCATTCCATTGATCAGGATAGACAGGTTGTATTGAAATTGTTTCTTAAACACCATCTTGTAACTCCTTGTTTTGATGACCTGTATAGTTTTTAGGAGTACTGTTCCAGTATCTTGTAGCATATTCCTTAATTGGGGTCTGTCTCATGACTAAACTGAGGTTATGGGTGTTTCAGAGGAAGACCACAAATATATAAAGTACCATTCTCATCATATCATATCAAGAGTATGTGCTGTCGAAGGACTTGCCTGTGTTGATGTTACCATTAATTAGAGGTTGAAGTCAAGATGCTCTAATGTAAGTTACTTTTTTCCTCCCTTTTCACTATACTCTTTTGAGGGAAGTCACAAAGTACCGCTCACATTAAACGGTTGGGAAGTTACGCTCTATCCCCTGAGGTGAGACTATCTAAATAATTATTTGAAATTTTTCTGCATGGAGGTTTGCCTCCCATATCCCTTAATTTCATAATTTTTCCTCTATTTTATTTTTACTTTTTCTGTACTGAGACCTTTCTGATTTCCTCAAATCTGTCTTCAAATCATTACTTCTTTCTTCAGCTCTATTTAGTCTGCTAAGTCAGTCTCTGCCTGTATTTTTTATTTCTAAAAATTTGATTTCACATCTGCCAGTTCTTTCCTGATGTTCTCTCCTCTTGTTTTCAATACTTTCTTTTTTTCTTTAATCATTTTAACCATATTAAATAATTGAGGATCTAATCCTGATTTGTTATGTATTTTTTTTTTTTTTTTGGATTTTGGATTGTGAGCTCATCTTCTGTGAAGCTTTAGCTATAGAAATCCTGTGCAACCTGGTTGAGGCTCACTCAGAGAGGGTTTTTTTGTTTGTTTGCTTGCTTCTGCCAGATGCTGCAGGGTATTACTATCCTTGAACAGCTTTTTATAATAATTTCTTAACTTCTCAATTCTTCAGTCATGAGAGTATAAATTCAAACCCCAACCTGTGTGAGGGCAGGTCCATAATTATGAATTCTCAAAAAGTGTTTTTTCTCCCACTTAACTCAGAGCTCAAGCTAAGACAGATTAGTTTACTGTCATCGCCCTGTTCCCTAGGCCAACCATTCAAAAGTTTTCAAAAGGACTGAATTGCTTTTGCAGGAATCTTAGTTACAACCTCTCTTGCAAATTCATCCCTTGTCCCTGTACAAGTCCCTGTCTCTTCATATAGTCTTTTCCTGCTGATCCCTTTGTTTTGGTCTTAAGGAATTCATCTCACTCCTCTCAATTCATCCTCTATATCTTTTAACTGCCCTTTCACATTTTTATCTCTTTGTCTCTCTTTGCTA